GCTATTGAATAGGACTATGCTGAATATCCTTTTATATAAAGCATTCTACTGGCTGCAGGTTTGGGGTCGTGGTCCTGCTGGAATGTGAAGCTCCGCCCAAGTCCTGAGTTTTTTTTACACCCTTTAACAGAATTTCTGCCAATATTGACTTGCATCTTCTTGTGTACCCTGAACTGCTTCCCTGTCCCTGTTAAAAGGAAAGCGTGTCAAGAGCATGATGCTGCCATCATCATGTTTTCTTTCGCTTTCTGTTGGGCTTACATTATATTGCTCCATAAAAACTGAAAGCTTCAATTTTGGTCTGATGACAGCACCTTCTTCTACATTTTTGCTTTTTACCCTCTATAACCTGCAGCTCACAGCAGATATGACTTACTTTCAGTGTTTTGTCAGCAGATCTACCCTGGCAAGCAGTGAACTTGCATATACTCTATTCTCCTTGTCAGAGGATAGATTAAAGTTTATTCGAGGCATTCAAAACTTAGCATATTAACTTATAATATAACTTTGGTTTAAACATCTCGTTCACTTTATCTATGACCTGTTTGATGTGTTTATTGCTTCTGATAGTGCTGTTTGCTAGTTTTCTAACTCACAGAATTTGTATTGAGATACAGTTGAACACTATTTATTTATGAGGTGACCTCTGAAGGCACTCAGTTGCATTTGAAACAGTTTAGGGGTATAAGAGTAAAGAGGGCTGAGGACTGCTAACACACTTTTCAGTGTTCAAATTTTTATTTCTAAAATTAGGAACTATTCTGTGTTGACATATTGCATAAAATCTCTATAAAATGCTTTATGTTTGTGGTTGAGATGAGACAAAATGTAAAAAAACAAAAATATTTTGTGATGATTGCTCTGCTGTTTAAGGAGAGACTCCAACATTGACCTGATTTCCATCTGTCAGCGCTGCTTTCTGTTGTCATAAACTTCTGGTTTCTGTTTGCATCAGGTTCAGCTGGGCTTTGACAGTCCTCTCCCAGCAGCTGTAGAGCAGTGGAAGGAGACGATGGCTCACCCAGAGAAAGTGGTGACAGCGTGGCATCGGCTGAGTCCTACATAAACCTGCTTCCTGGACTAATGCAACTGGTTTTAAAAACAGCTGTTGGCGGTTACTTTTCCACTGGACCAGCCCCACTCCTCTCAGAGAGACAATGTTTATGGACCAGGTCGCACACTGCAGTCAATGCCCGATGTTACAGTGTAAACAGAGGTTTAGTGTATAGATGCTGAAGATCAAAAAGGAGAGGCATTTTTTATGGGAGAAATAAGTCGACCACTTTCTACATTAGGTCACTTTTTAGTTCACTTCACTGCTTCTTTTTTGTTCGATCTGTGTTCGCTAGTGGAACGACTCCTCAGTTCCTGAGCTATAAGATTTAGATGATGCAGATCTGTACTTTTACTGCTGCTTAAAATGGTTCTGTTTAAGATATGTTGAGCATATTCTACTTGCTGTGGATCATTGTCTCCTTTTGATTGATTTATAAAGTTTAGATCTATCAATTTGGAGAATTCTGAAAGAGTTGTGGTGGGAGAGCCGAGCTAAATAAAGCTCAGACTGTGACGAAAATGGAGCAACTATTTACAGGGCTGAATATCAGAAACGGCAAAAGACAATAAAAGGTGCACTTTACTTTAACTTGAGAAGAAGTTTGAAGTGTTGTATTATTTCCTGTTAGTGACATCTACAGTGCCTTGAGAAGTAATCACACCTTCTGAACGTAACAATATTTTGTTGGTAACATTTACAATCTCCAATGGTATTTACGGAGCAACTATCTGACAAACTAACACAAAGTTGTTGTTTTTTAAATAAAATCTAGAAAGGTGTTGCTTGGTTGCAAATCTTCAAGGGTGTGTCTCTAACAGGTTTGCACATCTTGGGACCGAGGTTTTTACCTATTCTTCTTTGCAAACATCTCTACAATGAGATAAAGTATCATTGTTAATCAATTCTTGCCTTAGATCCTTAAATGAAATGACTTAACCTGTCGATCACAATTTAGATTTTAAATTTAAATGGCTTTATATCCATAGCAGGTCTAGTTTGTAAATACATGTGTGTATATATATATATATATATATATATATATATATATATATATATATATATATATATATATATATATATATATATATATATATATATATATATATATATATAAAAATATGTCCATCCATCCATCCATCCATCTTCTTCCGCTTATCCGGGGTCGGGCCGCTGGGGTAGCAGCTTCAGTAGGGAGGCCCAGACGTCTCTCTCCCCAGCCACTTGGACCAGGCAGCTCCTCCCGGGGGAATCCCAAGGCGCTCCCATGCCAGCCGAGAAACATAGTCCCACCTGTCCTGGGTCTCCCCCTGGGCCTCCTCCCGGTGAGACGTGCCTGGAACACCTCACCAGGGAGACGTCCAGAAGGCATCCAAATGAAATGCCCGAGCCACTTCAACTGGCTCCTCTCTCTAAAGGAGAGCCAAAACACACCACGGAGAAAACTCATTTCAGCCGCCTGTATCCGGGATCCGGGATCTTGTTCTTTCGGTCATGACCCAAAGCTCATGACCATAGATGAAGGTAGGAACATAGATCGACCGGTAAATCGAGAGCTTTGCATTTTGGCTCAGCTCTCTCTTCACCACAACAGACCGCACAGGGCACGCTTCACAGCAGACACCGCACAACTCCGCCTATCGATCTCCCACTCCATCTTCCCCTCATTCGTGAACAAGACCCCAAGGTACATCCTCCCCAACCCGGAGAAGGCACTCTACCCTTTTCCGGTGCAAGACCATGGTCTTGGATTTGGAGGCACTAATTCTCATCCCAGCTGCTTCACACTCGGCTGCGAACTGCTCAAGTGAGAGCTGTAGATCATGCCCTGATGAAGCCAATAGAACCACTGTTGCATCTCTGTTATTCATCTGCGAATAACAGAGATGCAATCCTAAGGCCACCAAAACAGATCCCCTCAACACCTTGGCTGCGACTAGAAATTCTGTCTATTAAAGTTATGAACAGAATTGGTGACAAAGCACAACCTTGGCGGAGTCCAACCCTCACCGGAAATGAGTCCGACTTACTGCTGGCAATGCGGACCAGGCTCATACAGAGACCTAACAGCCCTTATTTAAGGGCCCAGTACTCCATACTCCCGGAGTACCCCCCACAGGACTCCCCGAGGGACACTGTCGAATGCCTTCTCCAGATCCACAAAACACATGTAGATTGGTTGGGCAAACTCCCATGCACCCTCCAGAATCCTGCTGAGGGTATAGAGCTGATCCAATGTTCCACGGCCAGGGCAAAAACCACACTGCTCCTCCTGAATCCGAGATTCGACTATCCGACGGACCCTCCTTTCCAGAACCCCGGAATAGACCTTACCAGGGAAGCTTAAGAGTGTGATTCCTCTGTAGATGGAACACACCCTCTGGTCCCCTTTTTTAAATAGGGGGACCACCACCCCAGTCTGCCATTCCAGGGGAACTGCCCCTGATGTCCACGCAATGTTGCAGAGCCGCGTTAACCAACACAGCCCCACAACATCCAGAGCCTTAGGAGTTTAAATAAAAAATGTAAAATATGAATAAAGGCCTGTAGCTGACAATGGTCTGTAAAACAACATGTTCATCTGCACAAAGGTAACTTGCAAGCAAGTGATCAGTTTTTTTGACAACAGTTAGAGTTAAATGTTCAAAGCTATAATGCTTCTTTGTGTTGTATGAAGATAAGTGTTGCATAAAATTGGTCTTTGCTTGTTTAGATCAGTCAACAGTGCACTAATTTTGGAAAACGCCTTTAATATGTTCTGTAATGTAAGATGTCTGACACATTCCTCATCATTCGTCCCCTGGCTGGAGGGATTTTAATGTTGATCTGTAGGTTGTTGCCTTGAAATAACTTCACTGACCTGTTGTACAACTTGGAATCTTTTTCATTTTTTGTATCTCACCAAATGTGTCGGATAACACCGTAATCTCCGTTTACCTGGGGTTACATTTTCAAATGGGGAAGAGAGATCTTGCAGCTCCTTTGATGTCAATTTTAACCACATGATATTCTGCACCCAGGCTGATTGTAGTTTATTCCTGTAGGTTTAATCTGTGGCGGTTGTAGATGGGATGTACCAGGGGAGCCAAGGTGAAACCAGTGTGTTTTTAATGGAGGCACAGAACAGAAGGATAGTATTAAACAAATAAAATAAAATAAACTAGAGCAATCATTTTGTATATTAAGTTTGCCACAAAGCCTGATTTAACAAATGCAAACTGTGACCTTATCTTAAAATGGTTGAAGCTTAAAGCTAAATGTAACTTCTAGAAAATGTTTAAAGTAAATGTGAAAGGCAATACATTAAATTGGTTTCAGTCTCTTCTGTCAGAAAATATCATTACAAGAAATTAACTTGTGTTCATAATGTGAAAGCTTACAAGTGGGCTACTTAGAATATTAAGTTCACTGTTCAGGACATATTTAGTCTCTGTATCTCCACAGTTGCTTCAGAGAACATTTGTTCCTTACAGACGTCTCATACAACTCTGTTTGGGAACGTCCCCAGTTCAATCCAATAAAGCCCTGGTCCTGTTCCGTGTAACCAGCTGTGGACGTGGACTCGTAAACACACTCCCTGAGAACAATAGGTCTGTAGACTCTGAAAACAGAGTCCTCCGGCTGTTTGCTCGTGACCAGGACAACCGGGTGCACCACGTGGGGCCCACCTGCGTCAGAAGCCTCCATATCCTGGCATGCCGCAACACCAACATCTTCATATAGAAGAATTTGTATTTGATTAATGGTTAATGTAACACTGGAGGAATACCAGACACACCTTAATATTTGAGCAGTAGGCTGTCATCTCAGAGAACCATGATTGCCTCTCAGTCAGGGCGTGCTTGGCCGTATGGAAGCAGGATTTTAGGAAGCCATCATTTCCCCCGTTTAACAGATTCCTTTGGCTTTTTGCCAGCGAGGGCCTGCAGCTTATTCCCATTTCCTTAAGTCCTACAGGCTTGTGTTCACAGTCTGCTCGCCTTGGAGACAGAAAACTTAACTGTGGTCTTCAGCAAAAGGGAGGAGGAATCTTCTTAGAAATTATTATGCTTTTCACCATGATGAGCTTTACTGGACAAGCTTGTTAGCTCTCTGGGGGAAAAAAGCAGAATGACCTGTTGGTAGAATAAAAGATGGTACAACAGTAAAAAGAAATCTTTATCTTATATATATAAAAAAATGCAATTGAGCCATAAAAGGGGTGTTTTTGATGTAAAATGCAGAGTGATAAATGATTGCTATATTCGAGTCATATTGTGTTGATAAGATACTAGTGGTCAACTATAGCAAAACAAAAACGAGCAAAAATGAGGTGATAATAAAAACTGCATGTTGAATCAAGGCTGAGTGCAGCATAACCATCGTTCTTGGGAAAAAGTATGTTTGCATTTCTGGTAGATGCATTATTTTCTCTATTATACAGAAAAAATGTCAATTCTAATCCAAAATCTAAGTGTATTTCATTTGTCAAGAACAACCACTTTTAGAGAATCACATGAAGGCCTCGTCACATACTGACTCACATGCTAGTTTTATTTTACCAAAATAGTTCCGTTTTATTAACAAGATCAGAGACTTATGGTGCTTTAACAAAAAGCCGCTGTTTATGTATTTATGCATCCACTGTCTGTAAGGTTGTTAGCCAGCTTTTATATTTTAACTACATTTTTCCTGTGTTTTTTTATTTTTCTAACTTGAGAATGTACTGTATGTTCTAAAGGGCTCAATTGGATTTAAGCATATCAGGTACAGTGGCAGGTTTTCAAAATGGTCTTCCCAGCCAAAGGTCAGCTGAAAGGCAGTCCACTACCCTGCAACTACCAGCAAAAACCCCTCCAACTTTCAGCCACTGGCCTTCTACTGGGCGTGCATATTTTTTCACTCTAACTCAACCATTTTTACTGATTTACAGGGTCTGACCAGGAAGTGATGCTTTTCTTTAGATATTAATGTCCAGAAATAAGGACAGAATATTTTAGTGCAAAGCTTGATGTTTAAGAAAGGAATTGTGGGGGACCAGCCAAGTACCAGACAAGTGGAGAAATTTTGAATGGCTACTACTGTAAGTCATATTTGTGTAACACTTCCAGATATTTTGGTCTATAGGCCCTGAGAGGCAAGATGGATCAGCATAACCAAACAATTTATTCAACTAAACTCAAAAAAACAACAACAGGACAGCAGTCTGAGTTTCCACTCTGTCCGAGTGATGTCTTTGGGCAAGACACTTTATGTCTGCTGGTGGTCAGATGGCCCTCTGATGGAGGTTGGTATTATTAAAGATCAGTAAGTTGGACCTTTTTCAGGTTAATACTGACTCAAAAATAGCTCCTAAAACTTATTAAAAGATTTTCAAGCAGAGCAAAGCCACTTCACATGCAATAAACTAGACCCAGTCATTCATAGACACTCTTTACCCAACTTGGCTGAAAAACTAGATATTGGTCCCAAACGACGATAACAGAGGGCCCACATGAAATACTGAAGTTTGAGGTTGTAACAAAGGAAATGTCCCTTGGCATTGGAGACTTTAATATCATCCCAAACTTTCCCAAAATCCAGGAAAAAACCTGATAAATCATCTCTTTATGTCAAA